CTTGTTCGGGTTCCTGTTGAATGCCCTGCAGGCCGGGGCAGCTCAAAATGCTCAAAAGGGCTCAAAAGGGGCCTGACTGTCTCGGACTTGGAGTTTTTATCTCTTTTTCTCTAGAATGGGCTGTTCTCCTCTTGAGTGTGGGACCACCTGATTGATACCTGTGATTGACAAGAGACTATAATGGGGAAGGGAGGTCTTTTGGGCGGTCACATTCTGGTGGACATGCAGGAATGCAAAGACCCAATGCTCCCCTCTAACTGCCTGTCTTGTTTCCCTTTGAGAGATGTGATCCCCACAAAATCTCTATGGGAAGTTGAGGGACGGCAGATCATTTCTTCTGTATCTGCTTCCTGAGAGGCAGGGGTGTAGAGGTGTTCCTCAGATGAAAGGAAGGGGTCTCAAGATCCGCCTGGGAGACCGTGTTGGCTTCTTCAGTTGTGACTGGCAATCTTGCTGGGGTATCATCTGTATTCCCAAGGCCCCTGAATGAGGAAAAATAGATTTTAATTAATAAACTTGTTAGCTGTCATGGAGCCTGTGGCCGTTTGACTGGTGGCATCAATTGTGTGGGCCCAGAATGGGTTTGGAAAAAAATCATTAGGCTTACTGGCCTGGGGGATATTAGGAAGTCACAGGCTTTCAGTAGTTATCTGAAGCAGGGGTAGGAGATTTCTATGAACAATCTATTGTTTAGGATTAAGAAACTGACTTACAAACAATCAAGAAGCAGGGGGAGGGCCGGCTAAATGGCGTGATGGTTAAGAACTGGCTTGGGACGCCAGAGGACCCCGGTTCGGATACCACATATGAGGGTCAGTGACACTGCCCTCCACAGCTAAGATGCTGAACAACAGCTCAACCTGGAGTTGGGCTGCTGTGAGTCGCCGGCGACGGCATAGGCTGCAGCCCCTGCGGCAGTGGGTTGCCATGGGCTACCGTGTGTAGCCAGCAGCCAGCGTGAGCAGCCAGCAGCCGCTGTGAGCGGCCATCCAGAAGCCAGTGACTGATCTGCCTCGCCTGGGAAGAGCAAAACGTTGGTGCCAACTTGGTCCAGTGAAGCAATGTCCTCCACAACTAGACTGAAGAACAAAAAGATAGCAACTTGTCTGTTCCCCTTCCCCCAATTCCCCAGTGCTGTTCCCATCTCCGAATTCCTGAATTTAAATAAATAAATAAATAAATAAAAGAAGCAGGGGGATAGGAGAAAGCTATGATTCAGGATACGAGCAATCTTTAATCCAAGATTCACAAACTGATTAGAAGAGTAATCAAAGCCAGGGGCTAAGGAACTAAGAAACTGGGGAGGAGGAGACTTAACATCTATAGGAAAAAAGGCTTAAAAGTTTTCATTGGGGTGGAGGTGGGGGGGTAAGGCTACTAGCCTGGCCGGTAACAAGAAAACCTGCAGTCAATGTCAGGGGCTGCACCAGGGATGCTGACTAGACTCCAGAGGGTGTGAGCTGACCCTGAGCCCTGGGCAGAGGTGGGCTCTGACCTCCAGGCTGAGAAGCCAGTTATCCCCAGCTTTGGTCATTGCGGGTCTCAGGCCTCCTGACTCCATCTTAGGTGACTAAGAATCTTTGTGGAGGTGTCTGAGGGTACTGCTCAAAATGAGCAGTGGCCCCATAGGGAATTCCAACACAACTGTAGTTAGATATTTGACTCATCCGGGACCGTGCACATAAAGGCTGGTTACTTAGTGCTCCGATTCCTCACGGTTGTACTAGATAGCCAGGGAGAGAAACCGAGGCACATAAGAGAGTTGAAGCGACTCGGGAGGTAACAGCCCCTTGGAGCTCAACCTATAAGCAGCACACTTCAACCCACTACATAATATCACTAGATATTTGTTCAGTCTCTGCAGATCTCAAAAGAAAACTAAAAATTAACATGGGCGATTGTGCCTCAAAGGCCGACAAGCTCCCAGCCCCCAGCACCATTTACACTTCTGCAGATGTATAGTTCCTAGGAGTCTTGCAAATACGTATAGACATGGAAAGATTTAACTAGAAGCGATACCAACTTAAGATGGCTAAAATGGAGCCCTTATAACATCTAAATGAATTTTTGTGTACACAATTAGAAAAAGCTGGCTTAAAAAAAATCAAACTGAACAAAATGGGAGGCTTACCTCAATTGGCAAATAGAAAGAAGCCTCTAAAATGGTGTTAAGTTTAAGGCTCCTAAACAAAACTTGTATAAGAGAATTTTCGTTCCAAAGAGTTTATGACCAGACCTAGGGCTGTCTCTCAAAGGGGAGACCAGCAGCTAAGTCCTAGTGGGTAAGGGTTTTATAGCTGAAGTTGGATACAGAAGTAAAAAAACAGTTAGTGTGTAAAAAAAGGAAAAAAAATGGTTAGTTTATNAGACCAGTTTCTAGAGGAATCTCTCTAGAGAGCACAGAAGGTCGTAGACCCGGTTCTGAAGTCCAACCAGGATCACACTGTGATGAAAGGAAGATGCTACAGTGGGTGTGAAATCAGTGGCTCCCTGGGGAGGGAGAGAATGTGAGTCCTGTTAAGAGGACAGAAGTGATCAGAAGGGAAGTCTAGGTTTCGCTGTTGTACACAGGGAGGTAAGAGCCAAAATTAGTAGAAACAATATGTGTTATGTTAGCAAATTTAGGAAGAAGGTCCCTGTCACCAATTTCAATGGACAGTCAGTCAAATGGGGAAGGAGCCCCCACACGGGCATGTGGCATGCGTTCTTCCCTTTGTCTCTAACTCAGGAAACAGAGCTAGAGCTTGATCAAATTCATCCATAGAGGGCAGTGTCTAAGAGAAAGGACAGTGGCCTGTGGATCTCACTGTCTGCGAGAATCCCGTCCAATGCTAAAGGTGTCAGCATGAGGACACACGTGTGTGAAATAGGCAGTATACCAGTCAGATGGCACGAGGTCACCACCCACTTGGGAAGGTCTCGGGAACCACTGGGAGGAACGGGAGCCTCACACCTGGACGAGGATGTGAGTCATGAGTCGGGCAAAGTGAGCCTGAGAGCTTTTGGGGACAGACCTGTCCTTCTGCCTTTGACTCCCTGGTTGAATCATGTAGAGAGCACATCAAGGGGTGACAGTCTCTGTCATGTGGCCTGTTTGCTTGTTGGCATCAGGGAGGGAAGGAGCCCTAGACGGAGGCACAGTGGAAGCTCGTTCTTGTGACCTGGGAAACTGGCTCATGACGGAGCCAGGGGCTGCTGCTCTGACTAATTCCTGTGTCCTTTCCTATTGTCCAGGAGGGTGGGCCTGGCCACAGGTGTTAGTGGGAGAATCCCGGGAGGCTTCAGGGTGGAGGAAGCAGAGCAGAGCAGGGCAGCGTGGCTGGAATGAAGGAGGAGGCAGGTGAGGGACAGGAAGGAGCAGAGAGAGCCAGAACTGACCATGGTAATGAGCAGGGGGGCTTACAGGTGACTTCAGAGACCCCAGGGACCAAGAGCCCACGGCTGGTCCAGAGAAGGACCAGTGCAGCAGAAAAACCTTCCCATGGCAAGCAGCCCCACAGTCACCATGAGGCTTGGCTCCTGTGGGGACTTGGGGACAGGTGGTCAGAGGGATGGAACGTGGTTCCCAGCCCCTGGATGGACAGGGAACAGGAGTGGCCAAAACCTCCTAGGACTCTGCATCCACCTTCCAGAATCTGTAGAGATTATGAATCACTCACTCATTCATTCATTGACTCATCATAATTCCTTCCTCCTTCATCAAAAGCAATTGAGTGTTTGTTACGTGTTGGTCCCTGAGCTGGTTGCAGGTGTGGAGTGGGGAGTGAGAAGCAAAGTCCTCTCCTTTATACTCCAGTGGGAGTGACACCAACACATCAGGAAACAAATAAGTGATTTCAAGTCCAGTGCAGGGAGGGGCCATCGGCCACCTGAGGGGGAGGCCTGGGCGTCCCAGCACTGACTGTGATGGTTACTGCAGGTGTTTTGTTTCTAGAGTAGAAACAGATTAAGTTTCCATTTGCTTTCACTCCCCACACCAGAATCTCTCCCTCTGAGCCGGGGACACCTGAACCAACACATAAAACGCCCTCGAGGGGAGGAAGGGACGGGGCTGTGACTGCCAACAGATCTTGGCCAGTCATGGTCTATGTTCCCCTGTAACTCAGTTTCCCCTGAATGAAACAGGATAAATGGTAAATGGTTTCAGACTTGTCATGTGGCCTGTGAATCTTAAACCTTTCACAATTACCTGACCTAAAGCTTGGAACAGAAATGCTGCCCAAAGTAACGGCATCTGTTATTTGATCCATGAGACAGGGCTCCCTGGTTCGATCCTTGGTGGATGAGGAGCTGCCAGGAGCTTATTCTCTCCTCTGCCCCTCCCTGGGGACACTGACCTTGCTCTGGGGTCTCCTAACTCCCCCAGGTCAGTCGGCTAATGGCCTTATGACCTTGTCCATCTGGGCTCCATGCACAGTCTCAGGTGAAGGACCAGGCCCCGCCCCTGCCCAGATGTGACTCCTGGGGCTGAGCCCTGGCTGGTGACCAGCTCAGGAGCTTGGGGCTCAGGCACCCAAGAAATCACTGTTCCCAGTCAGCCCTGCCCAGGAGGCCAAACCCAACCTGGGACAGGCTCCTCAGCATCCCTGGAGTCAGCAGCCCTGGGTTAGAGGTCTGGGGAGGTGCTGCCTGGGCTGAGCTTCTCCATCAGGACCCCAGGGGGCCACTCAGGCCAGGCTGACCAAGCCCTGCAGGGTCTTTCTGAGTCATGGTCACGGAACTGGCCCAGGGGCTGGACTGAGACTGGTCTCCCTCTGCTGAGTTACTCCCATCAGACTGGTCCTTCATTCTGGGGTGAATTCTGCAGGGGCTGGAATCTGGGAAGGGAACTCTGATCTTGTGAAGCTTGTCTCCACTGTGTGTGTCCTGCACTAAATACTGAAACCCCAACCTGGGAGGTAATGCAGGGGGGACGGAGGCAGAGTCCAGGCTGTCAATCTGCGTGTTTGAAGTAGAATTCATCCCACCCGACACCCAGACGTCAGAGATGAATCACTCACGGAATACACTGAGCTGTCCAGTTACTTCTTCAGCCTGTAAGTCTCTATGTGTGTACAGTAGGGTATAGTGTCCTGCGTCATTCAGAGTGACTCTCTGGACCAGCAGGGATCCATTGGGGTATATTGTCTCTCGACCACTGTATGCTGGCCCAGTTTCATTTATCTGAGTGTCTGTTCTATATGATGCAATATAACGTTTGATGTCTCCTCTTTCCCCTTTGTACCAGGTATAGCGTAGAAGATCTTGATTCTGATTGTGGACAAGGAAAAGCACATCCTTCCCTTCAGCAACGTTGGGCGGCAGCAATTCAAGAGTGAGTCGGGCAGTGGTGGGCGGGCTCCAGAAGGTTAAGAGTGAGACTAGGAGGAAAGAGAGAAATTGATCAATATTTGGGTCTATGTGTTGAGATGGAAAGATGAGGCTCTAGATCCTGAGGTCTCTTCATCTCTCAGCCTTGGGTGTGTGTGTGTGTGTGTGTGTCCCAATGTCAAGGTCAGCAGCATGGCCGCCATTACTTCAGCACCTCTGAACCTGTTACTTCCTCTGTTTCTAATACTCTTCTC